AACACATACATGACATTAGAAACTGTCAAACTATAACTGTATTGAAAAGTGGCATCCTTGATATAAACCCATGTAAAATTTTATGCGATCTGTCAAGTCATTCGAGTAGTAGCATCAGTTGAAAAGGCTTTGTGCAAGATGGGTGCCGCATTTGCTAACAATTGACCAAAACCGCATTCGAATGCGTATTTCTCAAGCGTGTTTGGCACATTTTAATCATTTTAAGCAAAATAAAATGGATTTCAAGTGTCGTTTCATAACTGTTGATGAAACTTGAATCCACCACTATACACCAGAGCGTAAAGAACCTTCCGGAATCACACTTTAATGATGGTATTGAATTATTGGAAAGACGTTGGAATAAATGTATTGAAGTTTCAGGAGATTATATTGAAGAATAAAACATATTTCACGGCAGAAAAATTTTCTTTTATCGTTAGGCCGAGAACTTTTCAGACCGCCCTCGTACTATTTTTCCACTGTATCGCGGGAACGCAGCGTAAATTACATTACGTCCTGATTGACACCGTAAGATCATCACCGTAATTGCACAAACATCTTTGCGCGTGTGATATTCCCTCTCATATCGTCGTTTGTCTATTCTGACCGTAATAACGCACTGGCGGCATCATCAATTTCCATCTCGGGGCACATCTTTCGACGTTCTTAACTCATAATTTCTCGTGACAGAGTTTTCATGTTCGTCGCATATCGTGTCCGCGTGAAAGACCTAGGATTATCTGCGCCTTTCTGTCTCCAGCAATCCCCTACGCGCGTCCCACGCTTTACAAGCGGAAAACATCCCATTGTACCACGTTAAATCGCTTGTAGCGCGAAATAAAACGCGCGTTAGCCGCGTGCTCGTGAGCAAACACATAGGGTGACTGCAATTAAGACTTCGAACTCGGCTAGTCGACGTTAATGGATATCTAATTTGCTCTCGTTCGACTTGCGGCTCGAAGGTGAGGAAGGGTCGCAGAGCGAACCGAGACAAAGCGACCTGTGGGAGTAGCGGGAGGGAGGAAAATCGTGATGAAGGAGAGGCGGGAAAGACGTAGACTGCGACACATAGGTGCAGAGCGAAACAGAAAACGAGAGAGAGAGAGAGAGAGAGAGAGAGAGAGAGAGAGAGAGAGAGAGAGACAGAGAGAGAGAGAGAGAAAGTGGAAGAGGGACAGAAGCGTTCATTGTCCCGTCGCGAGAGAGTCAACTTTGGTAAGAATGACAGGTCGATATCGCGGGGACAAAAACGTAAGACGCGACCGGGTAAGATGCGGCGGGTATAGATAGGATCTTCTTGTCGGTGCGTCCCCAGACGAGTGTGGCTTGCGCAACTACGTAAAGTATACGTATTATGTAAAAGCGAAGTGGGGAACAGCGTGTAAGTACCGGTAACGGAAATTGGAAACTTCTAAGTGCATGACGCGGAGATTACGCCAGGGAGATAGACAGCTTGATTTCAGTGACAGTGGCTGTGTAAACAATTTCCGTCGGCATATCGGTTGAGATTATATGTACATATGTGACCGCGCGAGAGATGTACAGAACATTATTTTCATGTATTAAATTGCTTCCCCCCTCTCCCCCTGTTAAACGCGCGAGCGAGCGGGGGCACGCGTGTGTTTGCTCTCATAATACCGTTGTCAATATTAAAAATATATATTGAAGTAGTGGAAATATACAGATACGAATGGGAAAGCAAATATTTAATTTCAATGATAAATATTTTCCATAAGTTTCCAAATGCTCCATAATCATGGTAGATGATGAACTAAATAATATTTCGTAAGTAATACAATATATATATATGTATATGTGTGTGTGTGTGTGTGTGTGTGTAACTTATTCAGAACATACACGTGTACGCAGATGCAACATATTAAATTGACGGAAAAATTGTTACCAGTCGTAGGTATTGCAGCGAGGGAGTGAGGGCGAATGTTCAAGTTACAAAAAACTTAGAACAAAGACGTATACGACATTGAAAAAAGAAATATCGGAAAATTTCGTATAATGTGGCAAGGACATCGGAGATTTACGGATTATAAGATAAGACGATCTTTTTGAACTGTTACGGTTCTATAGCGCATGATATTGGCTAATAGTGAGTTGAATTGGAAGACACAGTACATCCGGCTTGAGAAAGAGAGAGAGAGAGAGAGAGAGAGAGAGAGAGAGAGAGGAGGGAGGGAGGAAGTGGAGGAGAGAGAGAAGGAGTGGGGGAGAAAGAGCAAGAGCGAAAGCGAGAGCGAAAGAAGAATCGAAAGAGAGATGGACATAGCCTCGAGCCTCAGCCACGTAAGCTACGTGCACTACTCTATGATCAATGACACATCACACGCTGATACGAAAGCTTCACTCTGCTTGTACGGTGGCCGGGAATTTATAGCGACTCGACTCGACCAGGTATAGCCGGAAATTCTCCACAATCATGACGAATAATATAACAAATTAAATGAAGAACAGGTTGCGCGTCTCTCTCACAAAGAACGATGCGATTAAGTTGAACAGTTGAGGCGAGCGTTGCTTTCGCGATGCGCGTCTTGCGTCACTCGTGTGGCCGGATTTTCGACAGAGGCTTCGAGAGGCGAAGCGACGTTCTCGACGAAGACTTACAGCGAGGCTTGCACCAAATAGCGCGAGAGGAATCGCGGTGATAGCACGGTGTACTCGGATTCAAACTTGTTGAAGGAGCGTTTCACTTCGTTTAAGATTCGTAGGAAATTGTGCACTTTGCTTGCCGATAGCTTCGCAATTTCGTTGTTAAACAAGCCTACGTTCCAGCCCCTCGAGCTTTAATTTTTCAGATGTCTCGATCAAGCAAGTGTGTCCCACGCACATACACACACACACACACACACACACGCACATGTAATGTCAAATTCTTTATTGCACGACATTTCGGATTTGTGCGTTTCGATTTCAGTTACGCCGTTATTTTATATAAACAGCGCAAGGCAATACGCGCGCGATTCGCACATCTAATTTATGGAAATGTTAGCTTGTAGCTGACGTGCACAATTTATTAAATCATTCAATTTATTTCGAAAAGATAAACGACAAGTGAAATATCGGATGAAAAACGAGAATTTCCGCGGCCGCGTGGAAATTGCACCGCCACCGAAAAGCAAACAATACATGCGTGTTACATCGCGAGTAACATTGCTCGTATTTTGTTACGGGGACAAAGTGTCCCTGTCGTAAGAAAAGAACAATAAGTAATAATTAGCCGGAAACTAATAAGCGCGCGGTCAGCGTTTATTTCATTGCGTTATTCGCGCACACATCGGGTTAATAACAGTAAAATCGACATGACACCGGGGAAACATTAAGACCTTAACCACGCGAACGATGCCTGTGCGATGATCAATGGCACGTCACGCGCCGTGTTGGAGGCTTATCCACTCGTACAGTCAGGATTTATAGCGATCTAAGTGGCCTTGAGTTCCGAGAAATAAACGAGCTTTTCGCACAATTCATGCCGTATACAATTTATACAGCTCGCTTAATTAGATACACGCCGTGCCCGGGGGTGATACATGACTGCGATTGTACAATATATGCGTCTCGAAAGTAGTTAAAACGGAAGAGAGAGAGAGAGAGAGAGAGAGGGGGGGAGAGAGAGAGAGAGAAGGAGAGTTAAAAGAGAGAGAGAGAGAGGAGTGAGAGATTTTGCGGAAGAACCGCGACGTGAACGCTAACGCGTCCGTCATAATGAAACAACGATCGCGGATAATGAAATTTGCAAGATTTCGGTAACCCGTGAGTACTGATACAAAAAATTAACGCATATGATTCGTGATGGATTTTGCAATGGAACAAGAAGCCTCAATTGCGGAAACTTCAATAATGCGATAGGTATCGGCGTTGCGTATCGGCAGGAAGCCTCGTAATTCGCTAATATTCGCGGTTGCGCAGCGAATCTGGAGTTTCGTTTTGTCGATCGGGTTTAGAGTGTTAGAGGCACGGTGGAAATTCCTCTCGAGATTTTAATCGTGACAAATCGTCGCTCGTGGAGTGGCTAAGAGACGCTCGAGGGCCTTTCGACCGAAAGTCGAAGAGCGGCAGGAACAATTACTTTCCATTAAATAATCGCGGCTTTCGAGACACTCTGTGTAATTACCGATCCGATACGGTACGTGCCGTAGCCGTGGCGCAATAGTTTCACGATGAAATCGCGACCGATAAAATTTCTCATGGGTGCCGCGGGAGTTGACGCCATTAGAACACGTTGGTGACGATCACTTACGGTTTAAAGTAGAGCCGGAGTCGATGCCCCTGCGCTCGCTCGCCTTCGTGCTGATTAAAGATTAATGCCATGAGAGGTGAGTATATTCGTGATTTTCTCCCGTTCTTCCACAGTTCAACCGACAACTTGCGATTTTTGCTTTTACTTTGGGTGTAGATGTGACAAAAAAGATGCAGATATTGATATTTTACAAACCGTTTGTTTCACATACTTTTTTTTCCATCACATCATAAATTTCAAGTCAAGAAACATGGAATATAATACAATCGTATTGCATTCTATTCTCATTTTATATGAAATTGATATTTTTGCAGCGATTACACTTGGATAATCGAATTACGTTTGGATTTCAACAAAATAATCTCCCATGTATGGGAGAATATAATAACCTACGGAGCACTCGAGAATTGCCGCCATTACATCTGCGAATACCGTAATCGATCCGAGGACACGGCTTTTTCTGAAAACACCACGTCAGGTCACAAAAGCCGCGTCAGTCACGATCGTTTACGATTATAAAGTCATCGAGTTTCTTCGATATTTCTGTCTTGAAAAAAGCGATTTTATATCGGTGAAAAAATTGATGCGGAGAAGAATAGATGGAGGGCAATAATTTCGCGAAACACTGCGCACAGATCCGACCTATTAAATCTAACCAAGGCACGACAAAATCACACACGATCAGGATATATCTCCCGTGCAATTGGCCTATAATTTTCCTTTTTATATAATTTTCCTTTTTATATAATAGGAACAGCATTATGGAGCAGAATTGTTCGATACACATTGTCCTGGACAATTTAACAGCGAGGAAAAACAATCCTTATCGATTCCAACCTCCTCCGGCGCGGCATCGGCTGCCGATGCCTGGCAATTCGCGGACTCGACTCTGGTAAATCGAGCCCAGAAGAGCAAAGCGGAGCAAAGCGGAGCAAACGGGCGGAGGGCTTAGTGATCGGCGATGATAAAATTGCAATGATTCAGGACTCACTTGCAGCGCGGGAATGTGGTACACGGTGGGCCCTCAGCGAGATCACCTTCTCGTGTGACGGCAAGGAATGCCTCCGGGCGTACGACGAGCTTGTCGCGACACAACACACGCGGACTCGTGTTAGCCGAGATCGCGCGGCACCGAATCAACGACTTAACCCTCGACGGAGGGCTGCAATCGGGGACACATGATTCCCCACGCACCTGAAGAGCCGGGTCCTTCGGGTTTACTGTGATCGTAGCAGCCCGCACGAATATCACTCGGTGGCGGAGAAGATCACTCTCTCCAGCAGCCAGTCAGCCTGCACTCGTACGCGCGATCCGTCGATTAACGCGCGGCACGCGACGGTGGTGACAGCGTACGAGCGGAGCCGCGGGTTCTCACTGACAGCGAAACTCGATGCGAACGGTCACTACGCCCGACGACGCACTGACATGTCACACTGCAAACTGCAAACTCCCACCTGCGTACTCTCGCAGCTCATCGGTGTACACTCGAGCTGGATCACACTATCCCGCACAGTCCGCCACCTTCTGCGGCAAGCAGCCCTCCGAGGAGAGTTTCTGTTCGGCCTCGCGGCCGAAAGTATGTCACTCGAGGATGCAGCCGGGCGCGCGATCGAACGTCACCAACGGCGTCGTGTACTCCGACGGGGAAACGCGTTCCCGGTTACCGATTCGCGCGTCGCGGACAGTGCCCTTCCTTCCTCGAGAGCGTGGCGAAGCCGTTCGCGATAACCAGGCGGCGCAGCGGACGAGCGAAGGAGCGAACGAAAGCAGGGTAATCGCCCGCGGCGAGTGAAAATATCAGCGACACGTCGCGGCTGAGTCTACGCGCGTATCCACGCGTGTACGAAACGCACGCCCGTGTGTGTGTGTGTGTGCATATGTATGTATAATATACGTGTGTATATGTATATATCTGTGTGTATGTGTGTACGTGTGTGTGTGTGTGTATATATGCACGTAGGCGCGCGCGCGCGCGCGTGTATCAATTTTTCGCGCTCACAGAACGCACACGCGAGGGGGCACGGCCGACACGCATCAGCCCTAGGAGAGACCCTTAGGCCGGATCCGCGGAGTTCCTTTCACCTCGATTTTCGGTCCCTTGCCACCCCCACGTTGCACAGGCGCGAACCGCTTTCAGAATTTCCGAGGGTCGGGCAACGCGCACGCGGGAGGGAGCGACAGCGAGAGGGAGAGAGCGTTGCCGCCGGGGTGGGAGCACCGGAGGACACGGCGGTAGGGGGTCGATGTATCGGGTGTGGGTAGATCGCGGAACGCAAGGTGGCGAGCTCTGCCTACGATGGAAGAGGGCACACTCCTGGCGCACGAACGGCTACACCGGCATAACTAGACCACCACTGAGCTACACCAGCCAGCGCCGCAGCACTGGCGTGGGAAGTAGGGTGTCTCGAAACTCGTGGTGATGGTGATATCCTGATTGTGATAGTGCCGCCGTTGCCGTTGATACCGCTGCTGCTGCTGCTGCTGCTGCTGCTGCTGCCGCTGCTGCCTGCTGCTGCTGCTGCTGCTGCTGGGTGGTGCGAGCATGGAGGGGATGATAAGAGGGGATGGAGGAATGAGGTAGGGGGTGGCGCAGGCGTTTTGGTGCACCGACGCATTGATCCCTGGAATTCGTGGGGACGGCGACAAGGGTCGAGCGTGTGTCCACCCTGCGCGAAGGAAAGAGAGAAAAAGAGACGAAGTGACGGTAGAGGGGCGAATGGCCGGACGGCGGGGGTGGCAGCGGGTCGCGGAGAACGTCGACCGTTCTCCTCGTAGCCGATGTCCACACCTGCAGGCCGCGGACGAAGTTACGAGGGCATGACTTGGCACTGGAGGCGAGGTGCGATTGACAATCGTCGATCACTCGCTTGGCTTGTAGATCGGTCGAGAGAGAAAGAGAGAGAGAGAGAGAAAGCCAGGATATCTCATCATGTAAAAAATGTATAGAAATGGTTCAAGTGTAATTATTGCCCCCGTATTGCGATAAAGATAAAAATAGAGATCTAGATATAAATATTTTTTTTATACATATTTGTTACGAAAAGTTTAAAAAACAAAAAATTAGTTAATAAATATTAATATTGTTAATAAATGAAATTGTTGACATATATCTATTAAATTACTGTCAAATAAAATATAATACTAAAAATATACATAATCAATCTGTGTTATATAGTGAATAATTACATGTATATTTGTGATCGATTTAAATTGTACATTATTTTCTTTATTTATTTTTTTTTAAATGTAACCACGGGAAAGTGTTTGGATTTGTCCGTTTTCATTAACTTTACGCAAAAATGCTAAATTTCGGTAAGTGGTGCTGCTGCTCATATTTTATTCTGCGCATTTCAAAAATTAGATTTTAAGTATTCTATATTAAAATTGAGGTATCACACGGTATGGGAAATAAACATAATAAATAAGGAAACAACAAGCGCGACGTAATATTATTCGCAACATAATGTATGTTAGAATAAATTAGTAAATAAATAAATATATATATACATATTTATTTGTGCGTGTGTGTGTGTGTATGTGTGTGCGCGCGCCCATGTATACCTTATACCTTATACCTACATCTACACAAGCGTCAGCGGACAAAAAGGGTATTTCGTTTCGGCTGGCCGCGATTACTCGTTAATAAAAGAACAGGGGAAGAGATGGAATAAGAAAAGGATGAGTCTCAAATAAGAAAAAAGAAGTTGAAACTGCCCGAGTGAGCCTTTACTGAGATTCTATCGATTTTATAATTTCCTTCTCGTATCTGGAGATTCCTTTGTTCTATCTCATCGTAAAAATTATCAGTTAATTAAGCTGCTACGAGATAAGTTATCGAAATTTGTTTAATCATGTGAATATTTATATATATTTTTAGATTTGCTGTTGAAATCTCGGAGTTTGCAAGGATTTTACGATACGCTACGATTCTCCCCCATCTCCTAAGAGTGATAATTGGCATAAAACTAAAGAATACTTGGAACTAGAACAGACGATACGCACTTCCACGACTTAAAGTTATGATTATTCTACTTGAAAGTGGAAGTGCCAATATCCTAAATCGTACTATATTCTGCCTTACTTCCAAAGAATAGAAATTAAATATTTTTTTTAGTTTTACTAAATCGGTTTTTCGTTTCCATAACGTTCGTGTAAAGTTGAGAATGCTTTTTCTTCAAATATATATATATATATATATATATATTTGAAGAAAAAGCATTCTCTTAATATATATTCTTTTAATATATATATATATATATATATATTAAAAGTTTTATTTGCGATTTATGAATAATTAGCTTCAAGGGTATAAAAAGATAGAATCAACAATCACAAGTCTTTTCAAACTGCCATCGGTTATATTGTTCAAAGATTGATTTATTGATAAGAAAAATTAAGCTAGCTGGTTCTCCCTCCTTCTTTCTCTCTCTCTCTCTCTCTCTCTCTCCTCTCTCTCTCTCTCTCTCTCTCTCTCTCTCTCTCTCTCTCTCTCTCTCTCTTTCTCTCTCTCTCTCTCTCTCTCTCTCTCTCTTCAGGTTTTATTGTACAGTTTTACGTGGAAGCAAAACCTCGACAGCGAGAGACCTCTGCGAACGACTTCGATATATTTTTGACAATTTTTACGATCAGCACGATCGTCAAATGCGAGTCGTGATACCTTAGGTGCCGACACACATAATATAGATCCCATAAAATATTCAGGCACTGCTTGCGTGCGGATATGTAGCACCGTTGAATAAATAAGGAAAGAGGTAAGGAATCTCGGTCGGTTCATAACTTCTTTCCATTTCGGATTCTTTTTGTAGCACCCGTAACGAGAGCCATGCATCCAAAAAACATAAGATCGGGCGATTTACTTGTTTGAAGATTTATACATTCGAGACTTTTAAACAGATATCCAAGAAAAGTGTTACTCTTTGAGAGACTTCATTGTCGTCGTTAATTTATACTTGAAGCTTGCAACGTACCGTTAACGGATAGGTCGCGTGTCTCTTGCTGGTAAACTGACTTATAATTTGCAACATTATTGAAGACGACAAGACGTTATGGTAAAATAATAAAGTTAATGTTTCTCTAGCGATGCTCGAGCTGATCGTGTAATATCTATCGAGGAAGAAGACATGTCCAATAAGTTTTGACGCCTTTCACAGTAATATTTCGCGAATGCGCGAATTGTGACTTATAAGTTCTATAAAAGTATTTATAATCCTTTTAGCTCAGCCAAACAGCGTGAGCGCGCTTCCCTTTTTTTCTGATGAGATGAAGAGATTCCGCAGAAAGTCTGAAAATATTTCCAACTATCTTCGCTCTCTTCTTCGGATTTGACGTTGTTATGCACGTTGTTATTCAGTGTCTGAGAATAGTTCTGGTTATAAAGCATGCAGTTTAATTTACTTCCCGAGTGTATTAGCATTGGAGCTAACAGCCTATGTAGTACTTTTAGATATATATTCTTGCGACTCTTCGTGGTAACTCAAATAGTTCAGCAGTAGCAATATGTGGCACGTACTTTGGAATTATATAGAAGACTATATTAAGAAGACGCGTGAGACGCGATTTATGTACATAGATTGGAAAATAATAATGGAGCAAGAAGAGCGCAATGAACTGCTTTGTTTCACCGGACTTCACTATGTGAACCGATATCCTCTATACACGCAAGTACTCTCGAATAATGTTCGTTTTATTGATTTAGAGAAAGATGATAGAGAAGGAGAGAAGGTAAGAGAGAAAGAGGAATCCTAAGATACAAACGGGTAAATAAGATCTCGGCGAGCGAGGACTTTGAGAGTGCTACGAGCTTTCGAGTCGTGTTGTTTCTTTCAAAAGGAGCCGGAGTAATAATTTTAACATTTCTCAAAACAAAGTCACGTTTTCTCTTATTCTCTATCGCGTCTCATCCAGGCGAGGCGATGAAATACGACATACAAACGCAGAATGCTGCTGAATAAAAAGCGAATGACAGGTACCTATCGCCACATTGCTTTGCTCGAACGGAAAGATGATAACAACCATACAGATAGTTATCTCGAACGACTTTATCTCCAGCGCACTTCAATTATATCTATTATGCCGATTTCACGAGAGATTGTGCTTGTGTATGCAGAAGACATAAGGTGAAAAAAGAAATACGGAATAAATGATACTACCCCGTATAGAAATTTCTTACGATTATCCCAGATACAGTTTAGATTCCAACTAGAATACCCAAATTTGTTCCAAAATAGGTTATCCCATCAGATACCAATTAGAAATCCCATTCTTGTCCCAAAAATGGGTTCTCTATCAATAGAATCGGAACAGAAATAATGTGGAAATTCCAACCTTTTTTTATTAATGCAATAGGGATGATACAAATGTTTTTTTTTTCTTAAATTGTTCTGTATTCGGACGTAATATAATACATTTTCGTTTTATACAATGTATAGAATATATTTTTATATTTGAAGATAATTTGATTAATTCGTACATGTGTAAATTAGATGAGTTTGTCGGATATTTATATATATTCTTTATTTTTTTAGCTTGAAAGCCTTCTATTAATATTTTTTCATAATTATTTCTCTCGCAAACAATTTGAGTTATTTTAAAAATCGAATTAACCCTCTATGGGCCCGTGTAATTTTCAGGTTACATGCTAATATATCGATATTTTACCAAATAATTTTAATTTTTTTCATGAGATGGCGTATACGTTTTAATTCTATAATGTCTCTGAGACAACCAATACCAATATTGATTGACGGTTGGCAGTGCCATCAACCTGAGATAACAAAACAAATGCCGTGCGAGTTGTCTGCAGTAGAAGCAAACGAACCATTTGTTCCAATTGATATTATTTGTGCCCCTGTCGGTGTTTACCGAACAAAAAAAAGTGTACATAATAGCTCCTGGTTTGTATATCAATAACAACTTCTTTGTTTGCATTTTAATTATCATTTTGTTCCTGTTTTTATATGATACACTTTTGTAACTTTGAGGTTACAGTGGGCTATTATGGCAGATTTCGGTATATTTAGGATAAAGCTTGTGCTTTCTCCTGTTTTCAGATTTATATATCATACACCCAAAAGATGAGTACAAAATCAGATAAAAATAAAAGAGGAATTAGAATTAGACACATTAGCGGTAATGGATCAGAAGATTCGTTATTAGACTCCGAGTCCGATGAAGATTCAGTAGTATTTCCCCGACGACGGATAAATATTATTGACAGCAACGAAGAATTTAGTACGAAATCATCGTCGGATGAGGAAAATTCAGAACCATAAAAAATTGTCTGGCAATCAGTATCCCAGACGAATAATAATAGTTGTCATCGCCCTTGGAAAGGAGATTGCCCTAATGTCCCCGAAACACCCTGTGGGTGTAAAGGAGTTCCGAAAATAAAATGTTCCAAATGCAACGTACATTGATGTTTAACGCCAAGTGCAAACTGCTTCGTAGAATTTCACGCTTAAGTTTTTATACACAAAAATGCGAACATTGTAAGCCGTT